CGAGATTTTGTATTGATTTCGTCTGTCTGTCTGACTACTTGAACACAACTAGTGATGTCAGAATTTCAGGTGAACTGTTACATGAAGTGAATGGCGTCAGTCAGGACTGTGTATTTCCTTCATTTCTAGTTAGTTTCATCATAAATGTACTATTGGACGTTTTATATACATCTGTTTAGTTCACAATAGTTGATGGACTAGTCTTAAATTTCCGATTCAACTTACAGTATGAAAATTAGGTGTAGACAAGTTTTCAGAGGAGAGTCATTATTTCATGATTTTTGGTATGTTTCTTACTTTGAGGTTTCTTGCTTCAGGAATGGTGGTTGAAGTGTTTGAAAGGGTTGATTACGTCAGTAGTTTCACATTCCCTTAATCATGAAGCTGTCGTTGTTATCCTTGAAAAATAAACACGATTTTTAGGCGTAAGTTGTCTGGGTCGTATCTGACTTCAGTTTTAATATCATGTTCTCGAAATACTATTGCTTTCTTTATTATCCTAAACACTGCCGATCCATCAGCATCAGACAGTGTGGAAACAGGAGATAACACGAAGTATAAACTGGGATGCTGTATTGGCAATAAATTCGAAACCAGCAGGAAGGAGAGAAAAAGTTCTATGTTATAACAACTAAACAAACGTTATATTATAAGTTCATTGTCAAATACACCAGAGAATACAGTATGAAATATCTGCTACAAAGCAAGCTGTGAAGATCTCTTGTCAATAAGACTCACCTTGTTGTACTAATCGGTTACATAATCTTGGTGCAAATAAAAAAAGCTCAGTTTGTGGAGTCGGCGCGATATCTGAAGCCCAGTCGTTCGTAAAAGCAATACAAGTTTTTCTGATAGGCGACCGAGGTTTTAGGATTAGCGAAACCTAGACGTCGCTAAAATATAGCGAGAAACTTGTCTAAGGAAATTACGTTAGGGGTCGGTATAGCAAAACAGGAAAATTCACAACTCGCTTTGATATGGCAACATGAATATGAAAACTGAATGTCAAGCTGTGTTTACATGAAATACCTATTGTCACACTATACAGATAGTGATTATGCTCAACACATAAGTAGATAAATACCAGAGGGTAGGACTGCAAGACAACTTAATCAGTTTTATGGTTTCTGATCAATAAAACGTGCGGCTGATATATACATCAGTACTGACAAAATCAACATAAAACGTCACACATAGGTGCATCTGCTCAAGTTGTTACACTTCATAGAAGTATGCAAAGAACAGATGGATGGGAAAGTAGCGATATCAAAGTAGGTAAACTGTGCGTGCATCAGGTAACAAATAGTGGAATAATACAAAAGTTAACAGTGTCTGTGCTTTTTGAGACTAAGCTTCATCTAAATCTTGAAAGTTGTAACATGGTTTTAACTTCACACCGATTTTGTGTCATAGCTTCTTACTTGATGATAGTAGACTGGTTTGTGAAGTCCAACAATCTGAACAAATATGAAACTGTTAAATACCATTTTTTTGTCTTCACATTTGTTGGTCATGTGATATGCTTGAAAACTGTATCTATAACATTATAACTGTACTTGATGATTCCAGATGGATTTATCTAGTATGCTGAGAAAGATGTTTATCGTATAAAGCGTAGCAATAAAGCACTCATTTTGGAAGAGCGAATCATGGTTGAATCGTTGGACTACTGACTAGGAAATGAATGCTCAAACCATGGAGGTATAACTCCACATATACTCACAAAATGTTTAATTACCTATGAAATCAGGAAAGGGAAGGAACTCAGGTCATCAAGAATATATTTTGATCAGATCTTCCTCCATCTCCCGTCAGACTGTGGTGTCAGCTGGTAGGAAATTACTGCCATAACTCAGTTTTATATTAGTAGTCATAGCCTATAGTTCAGGGGTTATATTTCTAACTGCAGCATCGAGTAACATGGTTTTCAATGTATGGAAGCACCGTATGAATCTATTTCCAGGAAATTTAGAACCAAAGCGAATAATAGACATCTTAGCAGTTAAACCAAACGCTCCAGTTACGCACAAAATCCAAAACAATGGACTTGTCTGATACACGGTTTTATATCAATAAACAATATTGACTAATAAAATGCAAACCTCGAATTGTGAGGTATCCGTGGGTTTATTGGTGCCAAACAACTTTAAATAGAATGCGTCAACAGTAAAAATACCAAAGCCGTGTTCAAGCAAGCAGAAGGGAATACAAAAGATGCATGTAAGTTTCATGATGAGGTAAAGACACACGACCAACAAAAGTTCAAAGTGAAATAGAACACCAAGGAACACTGAAAGAGATTGCAACGTCATCATGAAATGGGAAAGATGCTAATATCTATGGCTGTTAAACGGTGAACAAGACACGATTGGACAGTTAAAGCTGTGGATGGAGTAGCACTATAAAGAAACATGAACTATACTACTCAATATTAGTAAGTAGTATAAACTAAGTGTGTAAAAAGGAAGATAGACAATAATCTATTTTCAATACATGACAACAACCAAATAATTATTCCTTTTATTCTACTTGTGAACTTCTAATAGTTCACTTCTTATAATTAGCCATAGACTCATTCTCACATTCAACTCAAAGAGAAAGTTATCAAATTCCACGATACTGTATGATCTAACAATTTATTTCAGATACGGAGGTAAGCAATGGAGGTGTTTTTAATACTGGTCACATTCTAGCCAAATATAAAATGTCACCACTTTTAAAATGAGTGAAGCTCAACAAGTTGATGTATGCAATTATGATGATACTCCATGAAAAATCAACATATAACCCTTCCACAGAAGTGCGTCGGTTCAAGTTGCCACACTCCACAGTAGCATGCAAAAGAATAAGTGGACAGAGGACTGAAATCAAAGGGGACAAAAGTGTATGGGAGGAGGAACTAGAAAATTAAGTTTATTCCAAATATCCAAGCATTAGAAGATGTCAGATAGTGAATACGTCTGCGCGACTGTGGTCTATTTCCAGTCATATTACTAGGAGTCTTCAACCACTGATTCGTTTCGTCTTGGGGACCACAGCCAATAAGTCTACATCTCCCTGCACGGCCGGTACCGAAAATCAGATACTTCATGGGCTGATGCCACATCTCGGTCTGGTCACCCTGAACCCTCTTACAACTTGACACAGCTTCCTCTAGCATTCCAAGTCGAGGTAGGCGGTGGCTCGGTGTGCGCAGTATATGTCCAAGCCGTCTCAGCCAATGAAAGTCCACACCACGTCAAGTGACTTGTCTTCCATACATAATACCTTTCGATTAGCTTCAATATTACTCACACAGTGATCCCACCAAACGTGAGCAATGCTACGAAGATGCTTGTCATTAAAATCCTGTGACTGCTTTATACCTTGTATTTTCAACGGCCATGTACCACATTCGTATAACAGGGCAAAATGGACTGTAATGCAGTATGGTCGTCCATTGATAGATACTCGGACATCTCACTGGTGCCACAGACCATGCAAATTGCCGAAGGCCAAACTGATTTTCTGTATCGGAGCTAAGATTGCGTCAGCGACCGGCGCGTTCGAGGTGATGCAACTCCTGAAGTGAAGACATTCCACCATATCACTGGTAGCCGTCGCAAATCAGTCCTGTTGATGACACTCCAGATATATGAAAGTATCACGCATTCATACATAAGTAAGTTCAATTCAATCAGGATGCCAAAAGGATGAAAGCTAGTAACTAAACTGTATGACTAAATTTTAAAAAATGAATAACTAAGAGTTTATTGTATCGCAGAAAAAACTGGGTTTTCAGTAAAACGTTATCACAGTGATAACAACAAATACATATGAAGTCAATGATTGTTTAACCTCTTCTGTACTATGTACTACCGAACTGCCTACTCAATTCGTCAAGACAGAAATGACACTTGTGAGGAATGAAATCCGGTAGAGCTTACAACACAAGAAAGACATCAACTGTAAAGTAGACGCCCAACTGAAGAAAATCTCATTGGGACATGAAAACCTAAACACATACAAAACCAGTAAATTACTTGATGCAACTGATATAATAATTTCCATCCACTTGAGTACTGAGATCTTACGATCAACATTCAAAAGGGTTTAGAAGACTAATCGATGAAACCGTGAACAGACACTTCTCATTACCTATACTGTAATTATAATTTAGAATACACAAGTGTCTTGATCTCATGTCCGTATCACATTATGGGTCATCAACTATATGCAGTTAGTATCCGCAACCCGTAATTCATAGCATAACTGGGTAAGCTATAGTAGTTATCATAACTTACTTCAATTGTACAATAGTATAAATTTCGGCTTATGATGAATAATTATTTGTCCCTAAGGTATGCCAACCTATTCTCTAGTATTCTTCATACCCCAAAACGGCCTAGTAGGTTACATGACAAATACAGAATCGACGTAGAACCTTACACACAAGTGCATCGGTTTAAAATGCCACACTTCACGGCAGTACACAAAGAATATGTGGATAGAATAAGAATGATATCAAAATAGAATAAGCATTCTGAAGACAAAGGTTAGTGCGAATTTTCAAGAGTTAACAGACGCCAAAGAGTGAATACGTCAGCGCCATTGTCATCGATTTTCACCCATATCACCAAGAGTCTTCAACCACTGATTCCTGTCGTCTTGACGACCCAACAGTTAGGGACTTCATGCATTGGTGTCACGTCTTGGTCTGGCCACCGCGAACCCTCTTTCAACTAAATCCAACTTACCCTATCATTCCACATACAGGTGAGCAGTGACTCGAAATGCGCGGTACATGTCCAAGCCATCTCAGCGAATGAAGGTTCACAACGTCATCGATTGACTTGACTTTCTTGCCTAGTGCCCTTTGCCTGACCTCAACATTGCTCACATAGTGATTACAGCAAGCGCGAGCAATCCTATACAGACACTTATGATCAAAACCCTGTAACTGTTTCCTTTCTTTTGCTTTTAACGGCCATGTTAAATTAGATAACGAAGAAGGCAACCTTAGAAGACAAATTTCATATAAACCCGAAAAACACTCATAAAAACTAAGCACAGTAATGAAGTGGCCAATTTCAACCAAATAAAAGTAAAGAGCTGATGGCCACCACTACTAAGTGTATGCACACACATGTACATTAGTTTTAGCCGTTGTAAGCATCAACGTTTTAAAAAAGCGCACATTTAATCAACAGTTTCAAAATAATTCATGAGAAAGACGTAAATCCAAGTTGAAAGTATAATTTAATACAGAATGATTATATTTACAGGATCATTTCACTGACTGGAACTGATTCTCAGTCTACTTATGTTTCTTATTTCTTTTTGATCGGAAATTTAATCTTCGCAGATCCCTTTGTTCCTGACCAGACTTTTTACCAGGGCGCTGATCACGAACCTCTTTGTAAAACTGTCGACCAGCACGATTTTTCTGACGTCGTAAAGCTCTCTCCATGCCTCTCTTTTGTTTTGCCGTTAAGACTTGTGAAGGTTCTTTCACAGTGTCTATGGTTTTATCTCCATCATCATCCTTAGCATTCAGGTCGAAATCAGGCACCTTACTTGAATCTAACTCGGCATCACTCTGAAACAGTGAAGAATGATATGACTAAGAATGCTGCACTAAAAAAAAGTTTAAACACTGGATTGCAGAATCGATCAAAAAAGTGCCGCTGAGAGTATGAGAAAAAAACGGCAAGACGAAAATCCGACAAAACATCGAAATGACAACCTAACTTAGTAAGCTGAATTGTCTGCTAGCCTTATCGCTTATTTCAGATTGGTACTCATCAAGGACTGACATTAGTTGCAGGAAACCTGGAAGCACTGGAAAGATGTTCCGTCTTAATATGGGACTCCTCAGCAATGCGCATCCAGTGGCTCAATGGTAACGTGATGCCATGGAACATGAGGGTCCTGGGTTTGACCCCTGGCTGGGTCATAGGTGTGCTAGGTTGTTTCTTTAACTTGTATTTTCATTGCTAAACTATATTAAAATGATCAGTCAATTTACAGGTTGAAGTTCCAAGATCATATCAATAATACACCACGTCACTCCTAATAAGGGCCTATATCATCCTATTGGAAATAAGCATTGTTAGTAATGCATTATTCACTTTAATTAGGTGGAAATAATACAGTCAGTTTTAATCATTTCACTTTATTTTTTAATAGTGAGAAAGACAAAATACCAACAGCTTTACCAGATTACTATCTAGTAACATCTTTAATTTTTATGCTGGATCAAATTAGTCGGTGTCTGTTAGTACATAGGTTCCTGTACAGATGCCTTGATATTGCCTGAAGAACCTTTACGATGTAATTTGCTTGGTGTTAGCTGGCAGTGGAATTCAGATAACTGTCGTGACTCATTGGATAAAGCTCTGGTGTTCGGAGCAATAAATGCTGGGACCGAGACCCCCCCCCACCAGGATACAGGTACATCAATCTGATGAGATCCGAAAAGGACGAAACGAACGCCCTAGAACCTACTGTTGGACATCCTTAAGTACATTATTAGTTGAGAAGAGCTACCGTTAAAATGAACTTACACTGTCTGTTTCGGAAATATTTTCTTCTGCGAAACCAGTGTCAGCTGAAGATGCGATATCATTCGTGGATTGATCCTTTTCATCATCCAATAAATCCACTGATAAATCCTAAAAAGAAAAGAGAAATGAAATGGATATCCATTGAGACGTAAGAAAAACACACTACTACTTATACTGATTGCTACATCTGCCTTTTAATCAAGTGTTAACTCCACTTTTATAACCAGTGTTTAAAGAGACTTCAGTTGTTTGCAACCTTGTTAACTGAGACGTTAGTAAATAAACAATAGAAAATTCATAATTAAAAATGTAATTTTGCTTTAGAACTGTACAATTTCCTTTGAACTTTGCAAAGTTAATTTATAAGAGCCACGTTCCTCGCTTTTCAGTTGATCAATTAACTAATTTTTGAAATATTGAGTACACCATTGAAACATAATATTCGTATTAATGGGATACTCATCTTGTGGGTTAATATCAACCTTGGAGGTTCATATCTGTACAGGTTTTTAGAATGGTTAACAAAACGCCTCTATCACGTTAATATCCTTTTTGGGGGTGTTATTAGTTATGAATGTCGATACATAAAACGCATTTTATGTTCCTAACCGTTTATTTTTTTTTAAATATGGCAAAACCCTTATCTGGTCGCATTACGGTTAGATCTTTGATCCCTTGCAAGCGATTCAATGTTTACTAGTTTACAAAGAATACCATTAAACTTTTCGACTAAGCTTGTTCGAATTGAATTTTGGTATCAAGAGTAGTGTCCTAATAGTTACGATGTGAAATCTACTAGTTTGATGTTAAGATTTCCTGTATTTGACACGCTAGTAACGTTCTGTCCGTTCGTCTATGCCATTTCCCTTTTTTCTGACCGTCTTGTATTGATGATTTCGATGAATCCAACCAAGGGAATATGCTACATGAATAAGAAATATTTGTGAATTGAGAAACTTCGTTAAAATTCCTGTAAAAAGTATACGCTGTTTCATCTCTGTTTTATTCAGCTACCGCTTATTGGATTACACGATTAACTCTAATCAATGAGTTAGGCAACAAAACTCTGATCGTCTATAGAAGTTTGTATAGTAAGAAGTGAAATATGTAATTCGGAACTCGTATTGAAAGTACTAAGTTTGGGCATGGACCAAAGGTGTAAAGTGAGTACTATTACTTGAATTTCCAGATCTCAATAGATATTTGGAGGTAATCATCATAAACGGATAGCCTAAGAATCATTGAAAACCTGAAAGCAATGGATAGCTACTTCGTATTTAAATCGCAGTCGAAATTCATTCACCAACCAAGTAAACAGTTGTACAGTAGGCAATGCGCCATACCTATTGTGTGATTCTTAATGATGCAACATGACTGCCCAGACCTCGACCTCAGCAGAGGACCTTCGGGTGGAGGTCGAATTCCTAGACCAATAGCTTCTACCTTGACGTCATGGTCACACTTGGACATCACAAGGACTCAAAGAGCCACACTGGCTGGAACGCCTGTTCCCTCGAGGTCCTACCTTACAAAAAAAATCTGTTGGTAAGACGAAAACTAGTTACCATTGTAGTGTAAACTCCTACACTATGATGCAGTCTGAGAGCTGGGGTGTAACACCAGTAACATGTTTCCCTTGGATGATCAGCATCCCCAGTCTGATGCTGCTTTCCTTATGGAAAGGAAGGGGGTTAGACAACGTTATCCTCAAAAACAGCACATTCCTACCTGCCCCACAATCCCCCGGTGCCGGCGACATAGGTTTTCTCTAGCCGGCGTTGCAACAATCACAGTTTATGCCAACAAACTTGAAGAGATTGTGTGATAGACCCTTGGGCTCTGTGGTCACACACTATCCCTTCTTTTTCAGGTAACTCAAGAAGAACCAGCCTTCCATGACGTGGACAACCAGGAAGTGTCAATAGCCATAACCCTTCCAGTAGTATACAAAACCCAACCAAGCATAACCTATCCTACTTAACTCTGTCTTATCCTCCTTCTTCATCTCTTGATTCTAATATTAAGCCTCTTTCGCCTCACCCAACCTCTCACTATGCAACCATTGCGAACGATCAAAGCCACTGAAACCTCATTCCTAGTCTCCTAAGACCTCGCCATAGATTTCATACTGAGATTTTCAACGTCAGAAATCTATGCAAAATCAGACAGCAGACATCGCTCGCCAGAACTCTGGAACCTCGAGTCACGGATATATGCTGTGTCTCTGAGATAAGTATACAAGAGTGTGATTATTCCTTTGACCTCACCCGACCATTGCACTGAATGGACAAAAATCAATTTACGAGTGTCCCGAAGACTCAACAGCTACCTGTCGTGGACTAACTGGTGTAGACATAGCACCAAGTTCTAGAACAGAGAGCGCACTCTTCGACTAGATACCAACCAACAGCCTGTCAAAACGCTCTCCAACTGAATGGATCTGTACGAACTAGCAGGGATCGGAAGATTAGCCGACGCCTACTCACAATTTCCGCCAATGCACCCATCAACGCAAAGGATGAACTCTATCAAAAGCTGGCACTGACTACAATGAATAGCGAAGTGAGACATGCATTGGTCAAGCGTCTTCACAACGACCACAGTTGTGGGTGGTGAAAACGATAGAGATGGAGGAGGAATCAGCAACTATTTAGGCTTATTAGGAATATCAGCAAAAAGAAAACGATGGTTAGTGAAAAGACCACAGAAAAGAATAGGACGTTCATAACGACTCGTGATAGGCAACTATAAGGTTGGATGGAACACTCTGAAGGACAATTCCATATTTGGTATGGTACACAATGATGGAGTACTAATTATATCAAAATGATATGACTATGAGAAATAAATTCTGCTCGAAATGTCATCTAGTAACTAATACTGCATCACTGTGTGCCATATAAAATGAACAACCTAACTTGTAATTATACTGTACCATAGTGCCCAAGCCTTATCCTTACTTTGGAGCACAGTTCAACTAGATCACATAAACGCTTCAGTCGTCCAACATCCAACCTGAATTTGAAGTGAACGTAGATGTCGGTCCTCCAACTCTCCTTGAAGTTGAGGAAGCTGTATCATACCTAAGGCGATACAAAACAGCAGGATTTGACAGTTTGCCACCTGAGGTAGGAAATCGCTAATTAAAATGAAGTAGATACTAGGTAGTGTATGCGAATAAGAAGCGGTGCCGTCAGACTGGTCTACTTCACCGACCATACCAGTCTATAGAAAGGGATAGAAATTATCGTGTGACAATCATAGGGGAATTAGTCTTGCTAATATTGTGTCACAGGTCCTAGGGTCCACAGTTATTCAACACTTGAATGGAGCCAGAGAACAGCAAACTCGAGAAAACCAGGCAGGTTTCGGACGATGCTGGAAAAGGTTGTATCGGTCATATTTTCACTCTGCGACAGGTTCTGGAACACAGGTGTGCGTACCGACCAACGGCCGACACTTGCCATATTTCTTGTCCTAGAGGCGACATTTGAGTCTGTCGATCGTGAGGTGTTGTGCAGGTTTCTGACTGAAGGGAGTACCGAGAAAGTATTTAACGCTTGTCAAAGCTATCTGTTTGAACTCACGCAACCGTGTCAAGTCTTATGGAGAGTTGTCATGTGAATTGAAGACAACTAGTGGTGTCCGCCAGGGATGTCTACTGTAATCGTTTCTATTCAAATTCGTGATAGACGTACTAACAGACATAACCTAAGGTACTTCTGACTTCAGACAGATTTATATACTCCCTGGAGGGGTATGTAGATAACCAAGTGAAGACGCTGACAAAATGCGGAGTCTTGTGAACGCATTCAGCAGAAATCTGAGTATGTTTGGCATGTGTTTCACACCTTTAAAATGTAAAATGATCTGCAACTATCGCTAGTTTAAGGATAGAGAGTGAAGTTGTGTAATGTGCCAACCACTTTACTTACATGGGAAGTTGCATTAGATCAAGACATCTCAACTCAGATACAGAAGTCTCGCTTGGTTTTTACCAACTCGCGTTTTCACTGGCGCGAACTGGCGAGATATCCGACTACTTATTAAAAGAAGTGCATACTGCGCTGTAGTCCATTTTATACTGTTATAAGGCTGTGACACATGACTTAAAAGAATGCATGAAGCGATCACTGGGTTTTGATGACAAGTGTCCACGCAGCATTACTCGCGTTTGGTAGAATTACCATGTGAGCAGTGTTGAGGTCAGGTAAAGGGTTCTAAGGAAAGGAACGCGGCTTGGGCATAAGCTGCATACGTCCAGCTACCATCTACCTCGACGTGTCAAGTTAGGGGAAGGTGGATTAGGTTGGAAAAGAGTTCAGGCTGACCATATCAAGACGTGGCAGCAGTGCGTGAAGTCCTTGATATCTGGTCCGAGCCGTTTATAGAGGTGTATGCCACACGGATGGGGTCCTTGGGACGATAGGAATGAATGCTTGGGGACTCTTGGCAACATGGTTAAAAATTGACCACAATGTCGCAGATGTATCCACTTTTTGATGCATTCTTTTATAGCTTGGATGCTTCGACTAAACTTAGTTATTAAGTTTCCTCTCCTTTCCCATAGATCTTTTTCTACGTTGATATCAGCCTTTTGTAGCTGCTTTTTCTTTTTGTACTACTATCAGGTGTCACAACTTGAACCGATGCAGTTATGTCTGAGCTTTTACGCTGCTGTTGTTTGTCTGCCTCATCAGTGCTTACTCATGAGTGATCAAACCGAGAACTGTCAGTTTACACAGTAAGCACGTTACCACTCACACAGTGGTCCATGTTTTCTACCTTGTTCGTTCACGATGTTAGCTAATGCTTCACTTTGAGATGGAATTCCCGAAGCTGCAGTGAGAAGTCGTGACCTGTAGGGTAAAACCAAAGGTGTGAGGACGAATTCTCCCGGGTGGCATCAGACAACTGTCACGCTGTATAACGAATGGACAGAAGTTGGGAAACGTGGACCGCTGGATTGCATCGCAGTGGCTGACTGGTAACGTGCTTTCTATGAAGGTTGGCGTTCCTGGGCCCAATCCTTTGTAGGGTCATGTGTATGCACTTCCGGGAGTCCCAAACTAAGAGCGAACAACCGTTCAGTTCTATCAAGTTCTAATGGTCTTTTAGCCGATGTTGGTCAGTAGGAAAAACCTTGAAATCAATCAATTATCCACAAACCCCAAATGATACAAACGAAGACTTGGATTAGCGATTCATTACTTAGAATTTAACCACCAATCAGTTCTAATTAAGAACACTGAATGGTTGTTGAGTTGTATACACTTCCTTTGAGAAATTACCAACGTTTAAAAATTGGGACAAGTATATTACTGCTGGAAGACGTCTCTCTTCCCATTCAGAGCCATTCGAGTTGCGTGTAACACATATGTCGTGTTACTTGGTTCGGTGATCAACTGATGCAATCGTTGAATACCACCTACCTTCACGTGGAAAGCGTTGAAATTATGATATAAATCTGCATGAATGATTAAGATTTCCTGCTTCGTATCGATAAGTTAGTGAGAAGTTGAGGTCAACAGCTAGACGACGGGTAATAAATAATAACGGTAGTGCAGATGCAAGTACTGTTTTTGTTTATCCGTGCAACATAGTGGTATGGCAACTTATTTCAATATGCTAACTTTTAAGTACTGAAAACGAAATAGCCTAATTTTGCGTTAAGTAAACTAAAATAATGGAGATGCACCCAGGTACCTTGTGCACATTCGTGTAGTAGACAATGAGCGACACTTATTGTCTAAGGGCTAATGATGATCCCTGGCTGCCTAAACATCAATAGGTGGGGAGGCGTTTGAACCCGTGACCCAGTGTTAAGAGTTGACTCCCTAACCCAATGATCCAAAGTTCAATAAAACTAGAATAATGCACAGTATGACATGAATAAACAAGTAGTCATCACAATACCTTGATGATTTCTTCTGAGTATTCTTCAACAGCATCATTTTGTTCAGGTTCTTCAGAATCCGTGGGTGGTTTTACAAAGTATGGCAAGCGACCACGTTGAAAGTCATTCAATACACGTTTAGCGGTAGTGGTTAAATCTGGTTCACCAGCCTGATCAAATCAAAAGAAAAAGTGTACACAAACAGATGAAAAAATAATAACAATACATATCGCATCTACTATACACTCACATAGTTAATATTCTCCTCTTAGTATAATACCACAATACTATGAAGCAATTAAGAATAACACAACAATCAGACATGACGTGAAAATTTCACAGTATGTCATTCACTAGTTTCAATTCTGAATCTCATTTGATAATATCGCAAGCTACTGAGCTACATGATATCTCAGACCCAGTAAAGGGAAACAATGCGTCAACAGTTCACGCAGTAGATTTATTCATTATGTGATAACACTATCATAGGCTAATTAGTTTTTGCAACCAATGCCGAAACAAATGAACGCTAAATGTTAGGAAGACTGCCAAGACTGAGTATGTTAAACCGATTCAATGTACAGAAAGCAGTCTCTCTAGGTCATTTCATTTGCTAACTAAGGACCTGGAGCATATACGAACACTAACAGGGCGATGTCACTCGGTAAACAAGGCTACACGGACAAGGGTGATCTAATATATAGTCGCCAGCCATCCACTGCTCAGATATCAGGTCTTACACTTCAACAATACGAAGTATATTACAAATATAGATAATAATCATCAGCTGATCAAGTACACCGTGATCAGCCTGAATGTTGCAGAACAACAGATATCCACATCGTTAGGAGTTAAGACGTAGATACACGCACCCCGACGAACTTACTTCAAGGTTACCTTAAATATGTAACCGATGGTAAAGTTGAAAAGTAGAGACAAAGCCAGATGACCTTACATCCTACGGTCGTTAGTTTGGAATTATAAACAAGAGTAACTGCATACTCTTACCTAATCTGGGAATTTTTCGAACATAGATTTTAAGATGTCAGTATATTTCTTGGGACACTTATTTTTAATGCACACATGATGACAAAGCGTATTCGCATCCAGAGGATTGAAGGCAGAGTCCTATATCAAGAAACACACCTACGGCTGATATGCATTGGATGTGATAATATCCAAACGTCTAGTGCAGGTTGAAGACACAATTAATACATCCATAACCTGTGCGACATCCGACAAGTTTCCTAGCGAGTGAGTTGTTCACACGCCCTAGTAAGTCTGAGAAGTATGATAGCAGACAATACTAGATATATATCAAGAAAGCACTTTTCTGTCTTTAGCTGCATTTAGTGTACTGAACATTAATTGTATTTACAGTAAAAAGAAAGACGTAGACAATTTTACGAAATGTTTTATAAACATTACTCTCATCCATTATATTAGAATGTGCATCTACTAAATATCCAAACCAACTGAAACCCCTCATAGAAGCGACAATTGCAAGAAATACAAGCAGGAACCTAGTACTTTGTTTTGGCTCAATGGTAGTTGAAATTTAAATCATCAGTTCCTAAGATGGTTCATGTCTTCAGCAGAAGACCTAGTTACAAGTTGTGCAGACAATATGATACTATCTAACTGTTCAGCTTGAAAACTCTACCTTCCACCTGCGTTCCTTATAACCACAAGAAAAGTATGTACTCACACAACGTAGGAAATTTTTCAAATAATTCTGTATTCATCAGGTGAATGAATACGAAACTTTACTCCGCTGCACATCTTGGACTGGAGAAAGCATTGCTCCTTTTTTATTGAAGCGAAATTGTTTAGATATAAAAACAAATGTGTCGCCTTTTAAGTCGTATCATCTTAAACAGTGTACTGAATTTATCATTTTCTTATTCCCCCTTCCTTTTTTTATTGCTTTTGACCGACTATTCTTTTTTTCATTTTTCATCTTATGACTACTTTGTTACTTGTTGCGCTGCTATAAAGTATGGCAAACTTGGACCTTTACGCAGTAGTAATGCCTGGTCCTATGTTGATATTAACTGAGTGCCATCAACAGAAGCGCCGCCGACCTACTGTATCAATCAAACAGTGACCAAACGTTGGTGAAATCAGCATATGTAGATGGATAGACTTCCAGACTATGGTTAATAAGATGAACTGGTCCCTTCATGACTATCGGACTTCTTAACGAAGTTGGTCAATAAAATAAAGCAAAGCAAAGGACTTTTATAATAAAAAATAGGGTACATAATGGGAGAAAGACTTCAGATTTTACCTTCAACAATTTGCCACTTTGTCGAGCTAAAGTTTCTAGAAATAATTCTGGATAATCAGCCCACGATAAAGACGACTGTGATAAGGATGAAGTATTATCACTATCATTATTATTGGCATTATCTTTTATTTCATTCAAGTTCTGTTTATGTAAATACTTTTGAACATCACTAGGCAGTAAAGGCGGTAAATTGTACTTCGCATGTAAAAATTCTGGTTTAACACGTTGCAATACATCACGGATATACAGATCGGGTTGTTGTAAATACTCTACTCTGACCTACAAAACGAGTTGAAGAGTAAAGTTACAATTACGACAAACAATTTCTTATGACAATAAAAATAAACAAGAGAATTTCGATGATAATTAACAGCTGGTTAATTGAACTGTCTTATTATGATGGAATCTATTAAAATTGAGTATTAAAAAACAAAATTAAAGTGCGAACCAGCCATCACGCACTAGGCTATGAGCGACAGCCATCTCTTAGGTGCTAATGCTGCTATCTAGCTGGCCAAACCACAGTGCGATTATAACCAATCACTAACTAGTTAAGAGTCAACTGCCAACATCGATAAGCCATAGCTCGACAATACAACTCACGCAGGTAGATCTTTCTATATACTGCGCTATGAGTTACACTTATTGTATGTGTGTGTGAAGGCACATACTACCACGTGGTTGCACAGGCTATGTCAGGAGTGAAGTAGGATTCAAATACAGGACTCATATTTTAAAAGGTCAGTGCTCAAACCGTTAAACTATTCCAACTGCATAGAAGATGGATTGGAAAAAAAACCAGGGAGAATTGTGAATTTAATTTGTTTCCGTGGGAGTCTATAGACAGTTTAGCATCTATTATGCGCCTCTACATACCAAATGAATTTCCAAACAGTCAGATATCCACTATGACGTTTCGTGATATAGGCCAAAAGTTATTTGGCAAAGTCAGTATCATTTTTCAGATTATTTGTGGTGCATTTTATATCACATTTATTTTTTGTCAAATGAGATTAAGTAACAAGTTAACAGTTGAAGAACACATAACATTAATTCTTAATACCACTCTCAGCGACCGCGCGCACATGCGTTCGCACATTTGGTAATGAACCAAACTTATTATTTGACGACTAGTAACACTATCTGACTGGTCAAAGATAGGTAGATAACCGAATATTGGTTGAAAATCGATGACTATAACTTCATGGGTGAAATGACTAGCATTTGTAAGAAAATATCTTCCCTTGAGCATACCTTAGCACATTTTCTCGCTTCCAATGGTGGTTGAAAATGGTTCTGAAATGATTCTGAGTTATTTAAGTGCTGTAATAAAATGTGAATTTCTTACGCTCCCTGAGCCGAGAGAACTCACAACAACGACAGTCACACCTCCCCCCCCCGACTCCTTATGTTATATATGTTAGCATGAACGTAGTGCAGAAAAAACAGAGTGAAGCCTGACTAACAGTTATGTGTGTGACAGTAGACTGCACTACACAAAGGAAATCAAAGCTGGATACCTGTTTTAAATTTGCACAGATACATCATCTTAAAACATATCTTTAATTAGTACAACTTTCTTGAAATCTTCAAATTCAATAGCTGCATGCTAATATGTAACACTTTCAAATCACAAATTCAAACCAAACTTGATATGCTTTAATGTCTAGTGTAATGGCAAATGGGTTGGAATCTTCATTGAAAAACCGTATCATACAAGTGGCCACAGAACTAAAAAGACTGCAAATTTCCCCAGGTAATATCTTTATATTTCATAAATCTTGTGCATCTACTGACCCCAACCCCAAGCAGGCAAAAAACACTGGTGGATTCCTTCTTCGTTTTGTACAGTCAAAAAATTTACTCATTCATTCTACAAAACTAATGATCATCAGACAACATTTAACACAGTAGGACTTTTAAATTCAATTCAGATTTATTTACTGATTGTAAGTTGGTATGCAAAACAAACTGACACCAGTTGGAGAACCACGTCTAACTATTCTCATGTCCGATTTAATTTCCTCCATGGGTTACGACTCCTCCCAAGAACTTCAGGAATCTCATCGCGTAGCAAGTCATTAATGAGCACTAGACAGTAATTCAATCTTGAAGCGACAAACCAAATCAGGCGTGACGGCGTTGAGTGGAGGTCCCTCTACATTTCAAACTGACAAAAGTACAGAAATGTGGATCATTAGATTCCGATCCAGTGACTGAATGGTACCAAGCTGAACATGAAATATGGAGGTTTCGGGTCCAATTCTTGTTGGAGCCGTGTGCCCACTGCCTAGCTCCATACCAGGACAAGGTAGCTGTCCGTGTAGTGCTCCCAGATTTTTAATGGTTTTCCGACTGATGTCGCAGTCTGCGATGAATACCAACTAGAAGGTTTTAAGCCTAACATTTTGAAATAGGTATCTTACTACCAAGAGAAAAAAGTCTCGAAACTTCATCATTTTTCTTTAGAAACTGTAGTGTTTATATCATACAGTAAAAATTATCACTGCTTGTGTGTCAATATTAATACACGTGAACAACTCATAGCGATCAACAGTAGTGGCTAACTGGATCGAGATGTTCCATTTAAGCAATGAATAGCCATTTCAACTGTTTCATGTTAAAGGCATTACAGTTTAGATTACTCAATTCTGATCAGATGCATTCGATTCACTTCAAAATAGAAACACAAAAGAAGACAGACAACAATTTAAGAGAGTATCCATTAACTGAAGAACATTTCATATATACCTGTATAATAAATGAACAGTTATAAGAGTGATACTTACTACTCCTTTCATTACTAATTCTGCTTCAGTGTTCCCATCAGGATAAACTACTCCAGGACAATCGATTAAGAAGATGGATTTCATCAAGGTGACATACTGCCATACTTTTGTCTCACCCGCTAGCGGGGCAACATTGCATACCTTCTTATTTCTGAAACAAGAAATGTATATGAGACAGTTAAAATGAAGAAGACAAAGGACTACGATGAAGAATATGTACAGAATATTCATAGACATGAAGTGAAGCTGTAGCTCATTGACTTCAAACCAATCGATCACGGATCAAGCTAGCTCCACTTACTGACATTTGGGCAGCCAGGTAATATTATTAGCACTCAAAAAATAGGTGTGGTTCTATTGCCTACTGAATGAACACGCAAAAAGTTGCTGAGTGAGTTTTTATTTTGTTCTATGTATATCCATGAAATAGGGCAGACGCAAATTATCAATCAAGACTAATCGCTTTTAAAATGACTATAAGATTTTATCAGTATCCTCACCTAAACGATTTTCCATTACCAGTGAAATCACATGCGTTGAGAGGAATCTCCACAAACTCATAAATAATGGAGATAAATGAAAATAGAGAGATCACACTTTATTGACGGACACTACTGTATGTAGACGCAATTGACTCAAACATGATACAGGTGTTTTAGTGCACAATCGAAACAATAACAGATCAAAATGCATGCAGAATGAGTATCTTGATATAGTGGAGACAATTGACTCCGGTAGACAATGCATGAGTGAGTATTCATCGTCATAATGAAAGGTGGCAAGTAGGCAAGCTTATTAAGACACAAAGGCAGAATTGAAAAAAAGAAACAGAAAAGACGGTAAGGAATTATGAAAACATGCAGCAGTAATACTACTTACCGGAGAGCATTAATAATGCTACTCTTTCCAACATTTGGATAGCCAATAATGCCGACTGATATTTGCGGTCGTTCTTTACTATGAAGAGAAGCCAACTGCCGTAAAAGACCCACAAGAGCTATTTTACCTAAGGGTTTAGTCATATGAGCATGAAATATCAGAGTAGGATATTCTTCAGATAAGATAGCTTTCCATCGTTTCTACAGAATATACAAACAATGAGAAGAAAACATGTTTTTAAAAATGCCATCGATTTCAAAAAAATCTAAAGAGTTTTCTAGCAAATTTTTTTTAACAGATGCTTTTGAGAACAACCCGAAGATATGCTTTATTCCATAAGCCAGCATTAAGTCCAAAAAGCCAAATACTTGAGAGAACACAAAGTCTCTATCATCGACGTTCAAGGAGAAATATATCAGATTTAGTAGAAAAAAGAAAACAACCAGACGTTAGTTGAATTGAAAGAAGACATAATTGATTAATAGTGATGATGAAAGATTATCATAAACTACGTGAAGTTAAAAAGTAAACAGCTAATGAATTCAGGTCTATGTGATAAAGATCACGTTACAGAACCTGTCAAACATGGGTGGAATCCTATAAATGTGCACTGTTGTGCAATCACGGCACATATCATTTATCAAGAAGAAAAAACTATCCACAGTCCTCTGGTTTTTAGAGACCACTCAAGTGGATTCAGCCTGCATAAACTGTCATCATTTGACTATTAACAGACATAACGAAAGTGATAAGACACATTTATCTTACCTGCTCTATTTCTTCGAATGTAATGACAATTGGGCAAGATGAATAAAACCATATTTGGAAACTTCATACACGCTTTATTAATGATTGTAAACAGGAGTCAAAACGACAGTCATCTACCCTTTAGTATAATCCTGCTTCTACTATAAAATGTTTTGTTTAATAATGGGTCGATAGCACCAACTTAATCACTTAAGTAGACAAATCAGATAATGGTAGCCAAAATGACAACTGCCAAGTCCTTCTGTACATAAATATGAGCAGCTTGAAATGTGGATTTACTAATTTAGAGGATATGCAATAACTATGTTCAACAGTGAAAAGCAGAAGAGGCAAGAAAACTCCACGATACTATTCATCGGTTAAAGCACTTCACTTTCAAAGCAATGAATCAAAGATATGAATTTTATGCTGCCTGCTTCGCCAACCAGGACGACTAGGATGTACCGCAAGCCTTCACACGACAGCGCGGTTCGCGCAGCTCAGGATACAAAAAACTATCAGGCGGCGTTTCATTAGATTAATTAGATTTCAGTTAGACCTAGTATAAGATATTGATGGACAGATGCTAGCAGTAGAATTCTGGATGCGGGTTTTATCCTATTTAGGAATCATCAGCTACATGTACCGTGCTTCCAGTGGGTGACGTTGTTTCCACCAAGATTAGAACCAACGAGTAATGGCTTCAAACGTCAGAGAATTATCCACTGGGCCACTAAATCACGATAGCCATCCCCTTCCACTACCAGTCACCATACATTGATAATATCAAACTAAAAATACCAGCAATATCGAGGTCTCCGCGCAGGGGGGGGATTTTTAAATTCACCTATTTATTATGTTAATGTGCCGTTTTATATTGATTCCACTAATATGGGACCTAGAGTTAGAGGAAAACATGTTATACAAATTCTTTGTAAATTATCCCCAGATGACCAACATTCACAGAGACCCCCCACTGAGGTGTATCAGGTATGCCTAGTCACCACCTACGCATTGTACAATGTTAGCTGAAGCAGGTTAAAGAGGATGAGACAACACCGTGGAATCAGCTTGTGAAGGTCTTTGACTGTTTATCTAGGCTGTACAGAAATATACAGAATTCCTAATCGAGGTATACGTGACAAACGAAACCAGTGGTTGAAGACTTTAGATGATATAATTGAGAATAGATCACACTGATGCAGATGCACCCGCACGTTATCTTCATTCTGTTCACTAAAAAGAACGTCATTGTTCGGTTCCTTATGCTGTTTTACAGTACTTTACCATTGACGTTTACTTTTCTCCTTATTTCTTTGTTTTTCAATGAAATAATGAATTTCTTGTTATCAGATTTAAGAGTATAACTAAACTGAGGAATTCGTGCAAACTTATGTGCAAACACAGACTGAGTTTCAAAGTTACGGGCTAGACCAAGTAAATAAGCAAACTCTCATTATTTACGTGTCTTAAGCACACGTACTTCTCCATCTCAGTGCCGAATAATTGAATCTGTTGTTTAACTGAGAAAAATTTGTATTTGAATCCCTATATAAGATTAGACGGATCGATTTTGGATGCATCAGGCAGTATGATAGAAGTATTAGCATGAAGTCTTTACATCAAAACCCACTCAGCAATTTTGTGCACATTTACGCAATGGGTAATGGAGTCACACCCATTGTGTGAAGGCTAATGATACTACCAGGTTGTCCAAACCTCGATAAGTTGATAGTCAACTCCCTACACCAATGAATCACAATCCCACATAAAATCATCAAGCAAAGTGAGCCACATTTTCTTTCAACATTATGTGCACGCATACATTTAAAAATAGCACACGCCATTGTTAAGCATGCAAGGGTTTCGAAGACAAGTCAGTACTTTCGGAGTAATTCTCAAGTCAACCTACAACTAGGTAATCAACTAACGAGGGACTATAAAGGATCATAATTACAGATTCTAAGAGTAGTCTAACAAGTATGAGTGGCTATTCAGATTGTAAATATTGAAAAGCCATCAGTAGGATTCCGAATGAAACAACGGAATTTTGATGGATATACAGTTCTATCGAGAATTGATTTCACTTAAAGCTTTATGAGGTATTTTGTTACACATCGTTTGTAATGCATTAACTAGACTGTGGGGTAACATTCTATTCATGTATACCTACCAACCATTATTAACACGCTATGGCTATTGGAAGTAGAAGATATTAAGCAGTTACAAGGCTTGAATCACAAGCATCTCCGTAACATTGCTCACGTTTGGCGGAGTCAACATGGCAGCAATTTAAGGGTCAGGCGAGTGGTATTAGGCAAAATAAGCAAATCGACTGGTGTGGTTGTGAACCTTTATCGGCTCAGAAGGTTTGGACATACCGAACCAACGCCTACTTCGATGAGCAATGCTGGGAGAAGTTGGATTAAGTTAGAAGACGGTTCAGGGTGACCAGATCAAGATATAGCAGTAGTCGCTAACTATCGGTTTGAGCCTTGTAGGAAGGTGTAGATTACCTGACTGGGGTCCTCAGGATGAATGGCACTAGCGATTAAGGACTCTTGGTAACAAGGCTAGAAATCAGTCTCAGTAGCGTAGATATATATTCGCTATCTGAATGTTTGCAATAACCTTCGTCTTGAGAATAACTATTTTACTTTGATATCATTCTTCTTTCATCCACCTGTTTTCTATCCTACTGTGAAGTGTGGGAACCGATGTACTCATGTGCAAGGTTTTACGTTGATTCTGTCTGTCTGACTGACATATTGGTTCACATTTTTATGTACTTTAATATTCACAGAAAAATCGGTTCCCAGAACACAGTACAGATTGGCTTATTTGCTTTTTTTCTTCAGTCACTTTACACACTCCAGCATTTACATATATAGCCAAGATAAGGAACCGTTTACCTACCTATTCCTGGTAGCTTATGAACCAAACATGAATGCATGCTCGAACTTTTCTTCATTCAACGGCATCTCGTAGCACGACAATATTATTTTTAAACACTCAGATTTAGAATCATCAACTAGGCATCAAAGCATGTGAACAATACAAAAGGATTAAATAGGAAAGAAAATTATAAAAACAGTTTATAAGCAAGAGTATAAAGAATAAGAGCAAGTTTACTTGTAAAGCTATGGAGAGTTTTCTGTCAAATGCGATTTTTAGTGAGTAACAAATACATACATACACACATAGAAAAATATATAAACAACCTACTGTTATCCATACAGGAACCAAATCCACTTTATTAATGATGAAAATAAAATGTTTATGAGGTTTTTCGGTTTTTAAGTATTTCTCTATATAAGGGGATCGCGTCCCCACTGGATCACGTGCATCCAAGACGTAAAGTACCACATCCGAAGAGTCTAAAACCTGAACATAAATAACATATCAAAATTTGGTCACATTTCAAATACACACTGAAACGAAGTATGTAGAACAAACTCAAAATATTACAATGAGAAAAAATAGAATCAAAAGTTTCACTGAAAAATATAAAATTTTAAGAGCAAAGAAATACTGTTGTTCTTCGTGATAATTAAAGTTCCCCGATGAAATAATATAATAAGGTAACTAAGATAACCCAAACGACCCAAAATATGCATTACATATCCCAGCCAGACAACTTATAAAAACAATAACATAAGAACTTGCTTTAAATAATTCATTCCATAGTCTTTTGGATCGTCCAGCTTTAAAGTGTGGGTCTTGTGTTAATTCGCGAACACCATCATTATCACGAACCATATGTCTGTCTTCTGCTGATTCGTACAAATGTTGGCTAGACTCAACTTGTTGCACAAGAGACTATGAAAAACAGAGAATAAGTGGCATGTCAGTAATTACCAATGTACATTATTGCTGCAGACTTCAGGGTTAAAATTTACCAGATAGAAATGAATAAATTGAGCAGTGGAGAAAAGCTTTATCGAAACAAGATACTTGTAAAGTTTCCATCAAAGTAGAAAAGTAAATTTTTGACATCAAATGACAGACAGAGATAATAAACGTAGAACCTTGCAAACAAGTGTATCAGTTCAAGTTCCCACGCTTCACAGTAGTACACAAGGAACAAGTGAATAGAAAAAGACTCATAAAAGTAGAAAAAGTTGTGAGATGAAATGTACAGTTTTAAGGTAAAGGTTAGTGAATTTCTTCAAGTTTCAGGAGGCGTCAAAAAGGAATACATCTGCTCTATTGAAACTGATTTCCAGCCTTGTTACCAAGAGTCCTTAATCGCTAGTGCCATTCATCCTGAGGACCCCAGTCAGGTAATCTACACCTTCCTACAAGGCTCAAACCGATAGTTAGCGACTACTGCTATATCTTGATCTGGTCACCCTGAACCGTCTTCTAACTTAATCCAACTTCTCCCAGCATTGCTCATCGAAGTAGGCGTTGGTTCGGTATGTCCAAACCTTCTGAGCCGATAAAGGTTCACAACCACACCAGTCGATTTGCTTATTTTGCCTAATACCACTCGCCTGACCCTTAAATTGCTGCCATGTTGACTCCGCCAAACGTGAGCAATGTTACGGAGATGCTTGTGATTCAAGCCTTGTAACTGCTTAATATCTTCTACTTTCAACGGCCATCCCACAGCTGCATAACACCGCAACGACTGCAGCGCAGTGTGCTCGTTCTATGAAAAGTAGTATAATATTTCACCAGCTGGCACCACTGATGACACAAACTGGCAAATGCCAAACAGGACTTCTGTATTGGAGCTGAGATTTTGTCAGCAATCAGCCCCTCGGGCTGATGCAACTTCCCAAGCGAGTGAAGTGGTTGAAGTATTCCGCCACTTCATTCCCAATAATTAAACCATGAGTAGTTGCAGGCCTATCCTGAAGTAGCAATTTTATTTGACAGGTGTCAGCAAAACAAAGTAAATACTCCAATTTCCGTATTTTGTCAACGTCTCTACCTAGCACGACAACATTGTCTGTACACACCAAACCAACCAGATGACCTCCAGAAGTAGATCGATTCCCATGAAGTCGGACGTACCTAAATTTATGGCTGTTAGTACTTCTATCACGAATTTGAATAGAAACGATTACAGTAGACATCCCTGGCGGACACCACTAGTTGTCTTCAATTCACATGACAACTCTCCATAAGACTTGACACGGTTGCGTGAGTTCAAACAGATAGCTTTGACAAGCGTTAAATACTTTCTCGGTACTCCCTTCAGTCAGAAACCTGCACAACACCTCACGATCGACAGACTCAAATGTCGCCTCTAGGACAAGAAATATGGCAAGTGTCGGCCGTTGGTCGGTACGCACACCTGTGTTCCAGAACCTGTCGCAGAGTGAAAATATGACCGATACAACCTTTTCCAGCATCGTCCGAAACCTGCCTGGTTTTCTCGAGTTTGCTGTTCTCTGGCTCCATTCAAGTGTTGAATAACTGTGGACCCTAGGACCTGTGACACAATATTAGCAAGACTAATTCCCCTATGATTGTCACACGATAATTTCTATCCCTTTCTATAGACTGGTATGGTCGGTGAAGTAGACCAGTCTGACGGCACCGCTTCTTATTCGCATACACTACCTAGTATCTACTTCATTTTAATTAGCGATTTCCTACCTCAGGTGGCAAACTGTCAAATCCTGCTGTTTTGTATCGCCTTAGGTATGATACAGCTTCCTCAACTTCAAGGAGAGTTGGAGGACCGACATCTACGTTCACTTCAAATTCAGGTTGGATGTTGGACAACTGAAGCGTTGCTGAGGGCCAGTAGAACTGTGCTTCTAAGCGTTCTGTCCAACATTTTAGCCATCTATTCTGGGAGGTCATCAGTGTCCCATCCTTTTGGGTGATGGTTTCGATAACCATCGTCTTTTTTGCCAGTATCCTTAATAAGCTTAAATGGTTGCCCAGTGTTACCCATCGCTGATGCCTTGTCTGTCTTTCTTGCTCTCACCGCCTACCAATACTCGTGATCGATGCGAAGACTCTTGGTCAATTTAGGTTGGAGTTACTTTCGCTCTACATCGTGGTCAAGACAAGCCAGAATCGGTCTTATTGCATAAATCACTTAGGATGACATCGCGGAAATTCAATGACGTTTGCTAACCTTCGGATGTACGTTATCAACTGTCTTTACCACTGTTTCCACGGCAGAGTTATCAGTATAAGCATTGCCAGCATGTCCAGACAAATGCTTAGCTAATTCGTGAAATATATAATTGGCTTCCTCATCTTTCAACTGACCATAGACAGATTTTGCTGTCGTCTATTTTCTGCGACCGTTGAGGCACATACATATACGAGCCCCCACTAGCGCCTGATCGGAGTCCAAAATGGTACTCCATATAGAGCGGCAAACCAACAATTCTCCCTGACGATGGCTTGTATCATTGTAATCTACCTGAGTCCATCGTTGGTTTGATGTTGGAAGAAGCCACGTGAGACAGTGTCTCTTTATGCCTAAAGTTAATGCTGGTCAGAAACAGGTGATTGTCGGAGAGAAACTGCAACAGACGAGCACCATTGTCTGTTCTTCGTCGTAGGATTACGAGAATACCTCCAAGATGCCTTCCACATTGGCTCAGCTTCTCTACTTGGGCGTAAAAGTCACCTGCTATTTCAACGACATCTGAACGTTTTGCTTTCTTTAGCAACATAGGTCATTTATGCCGCTGTCTAGAGTGAATTACTCCTATTATTTTACTGCTCACCAGAAAGACGCCGTCGGTGGAACAGCTGGAGTGCACACGAACAATGAAGAAATCATGTGAAGTCGTTTTAAAAGTTTTTTAAGATATATGAAGGGATCACGCACAGTGACGTCATGGTCTCATATGGATGAGTTTCAAGACGGGTGGTACAGTTTTATAGAAAGATATAAAAAGATGGGGAGATGATGATAATTGAACAGCAGGCATCACGGAAGCTAGTTAAACACGAACTACTCTTGCATGTGTGGCATCATCTTTATACGGACCACAGTTTTCATACTTACGCTGGTTTCTGAATGCAAAACTAAACAAAAATGATAATGAAGTAATAAATGACAAAAATGGGGTGCTCTTAGAATATACATTTGTTCTGTCTACTACGTCAGCTCGCTCTGCACCACTATATTGTTTCTCTAACCATAAGATGATAATATTCAATAGATAACACCATAGACATTCCTCTCCCCAGGACGATACAAAGCCTGTCTGCCAGAAACAGATGACTGTCGGAGAGTAACTGCAACAGACGATCACCGCGCATGTACTGAGCCAACATCTACCTCGACGTGTGATGCCAGAGGTGGTTGAATTAGGTAAGACAGAGCGTTTGGAGTGGCGAAACTAAGGCACCGAGAGAGTCGATGAATTCTCTGACTGCTGGTCTAGTTCGTGTATGGAGAGCCACGCCACCCAGCTGGGGTCCTAGAGATGATAGGAATGAATGCTTGCGGACTCTTGGTATCGGCTGAAAATCGGTCACAATAGCACAGACGACATCACTCCTTGATGTCTTCTAATCCTTGAATGTTTTGACTAACCATTGTCAAATTCGTTCTTCTCCCATACACTTTTGTTTACTTTCTTTGATAACTACCTTTTTCTATCCAGTTGTTCTTTGCAGTATACTACCAGGTGTGGCAAATTGAAGCGATGCACTTGCGTGCGAGGTTCTACGTTGATTGTGTCTGTTTTCTTTTAGCTGAAAGCAATTGAAATATAGTAAGTTATGGTACTTCAGTCCACGTCTGAAGCTGATTGCAACTCGAGAATTCACCGCAACACTAGACGCAGCGATACGAGTATTTCAGTTTACCACGCACTAATATTTGAACTTGCAAATGCTGTGTAAGCACCCACATGAATTTTATATTTAAAAGCAATGCATGTCCTGACAAGATGAAGGGTTAGATACTTTGTGTCAACCTTGCCTAAACATCCTTATTGAATTAACCTACGCCATATTCTTAGCGATGTATGTCAGAAAATATCCGTAACAGTTCCTCCTTGGTTTGTAGTTCAGCACCTAAACTTCGTCGACTTTACACTTTATCGTTAGCGACACATATAGTACAAGAACTATAGCGGAACTGTACTTAACTTCAGTGCCAAAATCCTATTCCTATGTAGATAATCGAGGAAAAATGACCTAAATGACATACACATCTTTATTTGTGTGCGGTAAGCACTGTTAAATAAAATACAAAAACTAAGCAACAATGTCCAAATGACTGTCCCTAAAACAAAAGAACCCTGCAATTAGCAGATCTATGCGCTTCCCATAAAATGTCGGTCCTCAGGAACAAGGATAATAGACCAGTGACCTACATTAACCTTTGATGATACTATCGGGAAGATCGGACCTCACCATGAAAGTAATGGAAGGTGCAAACACTGTGTGCTACGGTAGTGTTTCGGTGGTTAGCCACTCAGCGGGGAACGTACGTCCAACACAGTGGGACATAATTTCGAACCCGCCCTACCTACTGAGGTTTGGGCAGGCAAGGAGTGTTAGCAGTCCTCACATAGGTGTAGCTCATCACTTACAAGTAGGTGCTTGGATTTTGACTCGACTTTAGTACAGTTGTGAGCTTCGAGTAATCAACTCCCGGAATCGAATCCCAGGAGAAGTGGTGTCCGCAGCATCAAGTGACTCGTTTAAAAGAGGACTGGACAAGTACAGAGATCTACTGAAAAAGGACTAATATAGACTCAGCTTTCCGTTCTCAAACAAAAAACCTAATCTACATTAAAACTATCTAAATAAACTCATTTTGAGCACATTTCTCTTCCATAGGGTATCTGGCTTAACAACAGCATGTGCTGAGACTCAGCCATCGAAAAGACGCAGAATGTCTCACTTGATAAGATAAGAACCTCGATGCCTTCGCCTAACCGCTAATGCAGATCAGGCAAAACTACAAAGCGAACTGCAAATAATTTACCGTGAGGTCATCACAACCCAAAGAAGGCCTTTTGCGTTGAGCTTTGTCACCAAACACGTAGGAGAAACTCCCGGACGTCAGAAGAGCACTTTTAGTTTTCTAAATTTTAATTGGCTTCATTCATAGAATTCGTACCGTCTTTTTCTCATCTAGAAGAGATATAGGCAAGCGAGTTTGACGCAAAATAACCTCGTAGGGGTTTTTAATCTTCATTGCTTCCTTGAAACTCTGCAAAGTATCCTGACTAATAACACGAGTGTTGCCTGAATGTGCATGTTATGTGTAACCACGCGCCTACCAAACCATCGTCTATTTGGCTCAACTCGAGCCACTGTTCCAGACGGCAGCGTGGATTGGAATGGAGCTGGTCGGTAATCTTTCCGTTTTTATCTCTACGTCTATGTCGTACAGCTGAAGTGCACTAACCTTTTGGCCTTGAAATTCCGGTACATATTAAGTCGTTTGACGGTCGCTTTAGTACGCATTGTACTTCCTTTCGGCTGTTTTTCTCTATCTAAATGATTATAAGAACCTGTGTTTCACAATACCTGGATTAAGCGAATGCTTTGCATGGTTAATCGCGTTTTTGTATCTGCACCGAACCATCGTTTCAATTAAGCCGCTTTAGTTTAGACTTTAAAATTGCCTCTGGACTAAGATTAAAAACTGAGATTTAAATGAAACTCTTGTATTGCCTTATGTAGTATGTTATATACCATGACGTTCACTTTATTAACACCTTAATTATATTTTTGAAACATATGAAGCTATTGTTGTAGCATCTTTCTTAAGTTCCACTATCACTTGTTTCGCTGTCATCTGTGGTTGAATATGGATTTGTAATTCCTCTTTTTACTGGATCTTTGTCTCTTATCTCCTGTAACATTTGAGTGATTGAGCAGCAAGGCAGCAGGAATGAAATGCAACAATCCCAACACAAAACCCCACTTATTCCACGCCTGCGACGAAAAGACCTTCTAATGCATCCAAAAATCGGCCCCCAAAAGCAACAAGTGAGCAAGCTCGCAATGTATGCACAAAAATAAGATAATGGACGCTTCACTCCGAACATTTCCTGAGCTATCTCTTCTAGTGCACACACCGGCATAAGACAAAGAAAGCAAAGTGTACCGCATCCGTGTGCCGTACAGCATGTTCCACATAGGCTGTATTTAAACTCACAAGCTTTGTGAGCTGGTTCACGTGTTCTCCGATTGTTGAAGCTACTTTCCAAGTCTGCCTTTCTCATCCAATGTGACACACTAACTTTATAACAGACTGTATGCTTAGTGTTTGTCAGTAGGAGTCATCAATATTTTAAACAGACAGTAAATGGTAATCGATTAATAAATGACTGAAACACGTGATTCCACATAGCTGCATTCAGCTCAACCTCATTCACCGTCCATGAGAATTTATGAAGGCATCCAGCCATTTGTTTGATTGTTCGCTTCAAAAGCCAAATGGTAAATTGTGAATACAGTTCAAAAAAATTATAACATTGATTCTGTTGTACAACCCCAGTCTTGTTTAAAATATTTTTATCGATCTGAACATTTTTAATGTGCCACTTCCACACCACTTTTCACGGTATGACTAGTAGTTTACTTTCTGCCCCCACTGTAATGTAAATCGCTAATTGGTGAATCTTCACTCCTACTGTGCAAATGTCTCAAATTGAGGACAAGGTCATTTTTCATGTGCGTACTTATTCACGTGTTTTGGGATTGATTATTATATATTCGTTCAGAATACATAACCGCTGGCGTACGAAACCATAGCAGATTCCTTCTTAGTGATATATACCCAATGAATTCGTTACTTACATGTGCTTGCCTATACGGTACTTCCAGAAGTTTGAAAGATGGATGAAGCAGGTATCTTTAATCCGTGACGGGAAGTTTTCCGGGAAAAGTCCTCCTATTATCCTCAATTTCTGTTTTGCATATTTCTCGTCATTCAGTCGACAGATCGTTCTGAAAATCGACCCTTTATTCTTAACCCAAAATCTGAGTAATATAATCAGCAGTAAACCCTCCACATTTCATCACCATGTGTCTTTTTTCCACACTTATTTGTCAGGTACTTTGCCTTTAATGAGATGTTGCCTCCAGCCTTCTGAATATAGCTTCCCTCGCTGGTTTACAATTCCCCACGGGGATCTTAAAATATATCAGCATATAAAGTTTGACTTATACTCAAGTTCCCAGTGAGCATGGCTTTTACCTATCGCTAGAGCCAATGAAAGCGTTAATCTTCTCACCGACCACTTTGGTTCGCCAGTGTTCAGTTATATGCTGGTATGAAAGTCCATAAAACGCCACTCATGACCATGTTGTTCTGTGACTAAATTTTCTACCGTATTCCTCTAAGACCATTGATCTGCTTGTGTCTCCACGTTGAGTAATCCCACCTCGATAGTTTGATTTTAATTTGGGTCTATACTGATTCTGAACTTGTCATCGTTCTTAAGATGTTGTAGAAATTGTTTTGATTCGTACGTGCACTTTGTATGTCGCAAAACACTGCATATTCACACTGGGTATCAGTCACAGTTGAGCTTTTTTATCGTTCCATAATCTTTGTAATAATGATAGGTGTAAATCTACCGAGCTTCACAACTTTACGGGCTTGGTAGCCGTGCATACCTGTCATTCATCTTTACGGAATGACTCGCTGCGAACCTGTGTGCCAACAGCCAATGGGTCCCATAAAATCTTCCCGTTTTTTTGGCGTTTGCATTCTCTATATCACTCTTGAAAGGTTTTTTATAGAGGCATGCAGGGACAATAGTCATATTTGTGGTGTGATGCATACTTCACAGTGAGTTTGTTACTAATCCAATAAGTGAGCTAGCTGTGAGTAAGTGATGTATCATTGTCTTGTTATCGGAGTCAGGTCTTAGTATCTTAAGAAAGGAGGAAAATTCCGAACTAGTTTGTATATTTCAAAACGGTGATTTTTCACTAAAAGAAACAGTTTGTTTTTACTCAGGCTGCAGCTCACCTCTTCACTTATGTGACAACTTAGCCACCTTTCTCATACGGTAAAACACCATAATATACTATAAGTCCAGGAACTGTCATCATATGTACTGACTCAGTTGGTAGTGGAGTATCGGATAACAACTAGTGACAGCAAATGACAAGGCACTGTAAAGTGTTTGGAGCGCAGGTGGTGATACCACAGCTTTACTCAGCCGATGGTGGTGCCAACCTTGGTCTGCCGGAGATGTATATGAAGGAAACTACTCCCTGGAACATGTCAACACATGTTTAACGAAAACATACATGGGTTATGGAGGCAGATATTTATGCAGGTAATTTTGGTGCGTCTTTGCTCTCCTAAATTTGGGTGGTGAACATACAAAAATGGTTCGCACTCTGAATGTTGATCACTCGGCTTCATGACAGGTAATGCTCAATGATGTAGTGAGTGGCCTTGTTGGTTGTCGCACTGACCTGAAGCAATAGACTGCAAATCCACAACTGAGATCTCACGAGGGACTACCAAAGAGAAACGAAGGATGACAGTGGAGATATGGTACTCCACTGTGAACGTAATGATTATGCGCGCTGCCACTTCCTGCGACTAGTACTTCAAATGGTGCTTCCACTACACACCAGATAGCATAAAAAGACTACGGTAGAACGGATTGGCAGCAGATGTGTCCAATGACTGGGGACTATTCTTCACCACTACAGACCTCAAATCAGCCATTGATATGTTTTACTACCACTCTTAAACTTGTCTCGATACTATTATTTTATCGAAAAGTTCCAAAAAATGCCAATAAAGAATAAGCCATATATACCTCCCAATGCTCGAAGAAAGTTAGGCAAACTCTCAACAAGACACTACAGACATCACGACTTCGATTGATTCTTGGTGTTCTTAACTCTGCCTCGCATAACCATGATTTGCGCTTGAAGAATGAGGAGGGTAGTGCGCTAGCTGGCTCATCTAGAGTATATGCCCTCTCAGCACTCCTTAAAAAGCGATCGAATTGCACGAAACATGCCATTCCTTTTCTTATCCATGACACCAAAGCTTACAACAATCCAGTGGATATGTGTGAAATATTCAGCGACTTATTTGCAGTTGGTTATCTGGGGCCTACAAATTTTCCATGTGATACCAATACGGTCTGCACTATTAAAACTTATTCTTCCCCTCAACTAAGGACAATAGATATAGTTGAATTCACATACTCTAACATTCATGAAGCCATCTGGACGCTAAAACGCCCCGGCAGCGCTGGCACAGACGGAATATCATCACATTTCTTTAAATTTGGTGGCCCCGATACTCCATTATTATTACTTAAAGTATTTTCTCTCTCTTTGGAATCTTTCACATACCCCGATAACTGGAAAACATCACTTATCCTCCTTGGATATAAATCTGATTCAAAAACACTAGCAAGTAACCACAGGCCAATAAATATTACGCTTGCAGTTTCTAGAATTATGAAGAAATTTATTAAGGGAAGCGTTATTCATTACATACTTAGTAGCAACATCGTCACATCGAGTCAGCATGGGTTCCTAAAATTGAGGTCCTGTATAACTTGCCATCTTGACTTCGTTAACCTTATAACCACTATGTGCGACCGACACCAATTAGTCCTTGTACTGTATCTAGACATTTCAAAGGCATTTAACAGAGTCGATCACCTGCTGCTAATAAGTAAGTTGATGACTATAAGTATTGACTTTCCACTATTGGGATGGATTAGGTCTTTCTTCAGTTATCGCACTAAAGTGGTGACGGTAGATTCACACACTTTAAAACCTAGGCCAATCACCTCTGGTGTTGTTCAAGGCAGTGTATTAGGTCCCCTTCTCTTTACTTTATGTGTCAATGACACCTGCAGCTGCTTTGCGTACAATAGGCCATTCTTGCTTGCCGATGACCTAAAAGTTGCATACGCATTCACCCATGACGGTTTATCCAACTTCCAAGCACTAGTACAAAGGGAGCTCGACATAATGCCTGCATGGTCTTCTGCTTGGAAACTTCAGTTCAATATAGGCAAATGTGGCTGGATATGTTTCGGTTCTCCATCGGTGGATATCCAACTACATATTCAGTCTACGATACCACCTGTTCTTAAAAGTGTATGTGATCTTGGACTGATATATTCAAGCGACCTCACATTTTCTGAACAGGTGGCATCACAGACTCTCAAATCTAGGATCCTGATGGGCTGCATAGTTCATAACTTCCACTTCAAAGAAGTCAAGTTGCTACTCTATAAAACTTGCGTACGTCCACTGCTAGAACACTATCCATTCAAACCGAGTGGTATCCGCATAAAAGACAAACATAAAATAGAGGGTGTCCAAAGGCATTGTACAGCCAGATTACTAGGACACGATTGCGAACAGGACTACAGCTCCGGATGCAGAACCCTAAGTCAAGAACCACCTTGGGTGAAACGACTCAAAGTTAACCTGACACTCTTCTTTAGTGTGTCACACAAATTCACAAGTTTACAGCCAGTGGTGAGTTTCAGTCCGAACACAACTGTTGTTACTATCTACGCAAACACGCCCATAGCGCCAAAATGAAATAGTTCAAATCTTGCTTGCGTGCAAACTTCTTCCCCGTCAAATTCTCTCAGTTGTGGAACAGACTTCTGG